ACAATGAAAAAAAACTTCAAAACCATGTGAGTGTGGACAGTTTCCTTTGGAGAAGATTCTACAATGTTTAACTAGCTCTTCTCAGTGTGCAGGAAGCAGGCTGTCTGCTACTTGGTCCTGATGTGTGGTACTCATGTGTCCTAGGCTAGCTCCTATACAGCTAAGGATAATCTTGAACTTATTCTTCTGCCCTCCCCTCCCCAGTACACACCACCACACCCACTGTATGTGGTGCTGGGTCAAACTCAGGGCTTTGTGCATGCTAGGGAAGCACTCTACCAGCTGAGCGACATCCCAAGAGCCAGTTAAGCATTTACAGAAAGTCACTGACATATACACTGATTATTCAGTTGTGCCTCTGTCCGGGCCCAGACAGGGTCTGTCTCACACTTCGAGTCTATTTGTATAACACCAGTGAGCCAGGCCTAGGGGAGGAACCAGATGAGGAGTCATACGCCATTGACCATAGCCATCTCTTCCAGGCAGAAAGATGGAAAAATGCCCTGGGAATTGAGGCGTATGGGGACCAAGATGCAGAAGATGAGAGTAATGATGTAAAAGCCTGGGGCAAGACTCCAAGCTGGAACAGAAGAGAACAGGCAGAGGAAAACGGGCCCCAGCAGTAAGCAGCCTCACTACAAAACTTTTACAGTCTAGCCAAGCATGTGATACCCACTATAATCTCAGAACTCAGGATACACATATGTGTGTGTGTGTGTGTGTGTGTGTGTGTGTGTATACTGCTATGTATATATACTGCATACGTGTGTGTGTGTTTAAGGTTCTTTTTTAGTGGGTTGTGTGTGTACATTTGTGTGTGTGCATAACCCCAAAGTTAACCTTGGGTGTCATTCTCAGGAGCTATCCCTGTTTTGTGAGGTAGGGTCTCTCACTGGGAACTGAGACTTGCCTGTCAGGCTAAGCTGTCTGGCCAGCAAGCCTCAGGGATCTGCCTGACTCTACTTCCCCAGTGCTGGGATTGTGAGCACACACGTTACCACACCTAACTTTTTACATGGGTGCTGAGGAGCAAACTCAGATCTTCATGTTGTGTGGCAAGCACGTCAATGAAGTAAGCTATCTCCCCAGCCTTCCTATCTGCTTTCTTTTTTCCCTTCCTTCCTTCCTTCCTTCCTTCCTTCCTTCCTTCCTTCCTTCCTTCCTTCCTTCCTTCCTTCCTTTTCTTTGACAGGGTCTCATATGGGCATCCATCTCATTATATAGCCAAGGAAGACCTTAAACTTCTGATCCTCCTGCCTCTACTTCCCAAGTGCTGGGATTACAGTAGTATGTCACCACATCTGGTGTATTCAGTGCTGAAGATCAAACCCAAGGCTTCATGTATGCTAGGCAAGTGCTCCACCTGTCTCTAAAGACAAGGTGGAGAAGCAATTGGGAAAGACACCAATGTTGACTTCTGGCTTCTAAAAGCCATTGCATGGGTACACACACCTGCACACACCTGCACACACTGCACACACACACACACACACACACATACACAAATAGATTTATAAAAAACAAAATGAAAAAAGCACCACACAGAAGGCCATACCTGAGGAACTGGTGAAGAGCACTCCCCTCCACCAAGGACAGGGACCACTTGTCTGCCTATTATTTTTTACCCACGTTCATGTGTGTTTGCATGTACATATGTGTACATGTGTGTACATATGTGTACATGTGTATGTGTGAATGCACCTGTGTGCTACATGCATGAGGTGGCCAGGAAGTAATCTCAAGTGTCATCCACCTTCTTTGAGACAGAGCTTCTCACTGGAACTCACCAATTAGGCTGGACTGGCTGGCCAGCTTGCTCCAGGGATCCTTCAGTCTCTCCCCAGCACTGGGTTTGCAAGCGTGCACCCTACACCTACTTTTTATGTGAGTTCTAGGAATCAAACTCAGGTCCTTGTTTATAGGGCAATTACTTTACTGGCTGAGCCAACTCCAGCCCCTGCTTCATTATTTTTAGTAGGAAAATGCAAACAGTGTAACTCCAGACTTTTAAAGTCAGCCTAGACCTCATCTGATCCAACTTTTTCATTTTATAAGTGCGACAATATAGACCTGAGCTCACACCAATAATCAAAAGCTGAAACTTCTGGCTGACTTCTGCTGCAGAAGAGTTACTGTGCTGTCCTAGTTTTGAGAGCTAGCCCATTATCTTCCATGAACTGACCATTTGTCTCTTCCTAACCCCAACCCCATAATGTTGATACAATCTGTGGAGAGTTGAATAACAGTGACCCTACTTAGGCTCCAAGTATTTGGACACTTGATCCCCAGTTTGTGATGCAGTTTGTGGAGGGTCATGGAACCTTTAGAAGTGTGGTCATGCTGGGGGAAGCATGTCACTGGGGGTGGGCTTTGAGAGTATAAAGCCATGAAGGTCCCACTTCCAGTTTGTCTCTCTGTTTCCGGTGCCTATTTGAAGATGTGAGTACTCAGCCGCCTCTTGCCATGCCTTCCCACCATGCCTCCCCACCATGCCTTCCTGACATGATGGATGTTTATCCTCTGGAACTGTAAAACAATAAACTCTTCTGTAAGTTGCCTTGGTCATAGTGTTTTATCACAGCAACAGAAAAGGTAACTAACCCTAGCCTCACTTTAGTGTTCTAGTTAAGGACCACTAGGAGTGAAGTAACTGAATAACTGGACCAGGGACACAAATACATTGCGAATCCCAAACTCAATTCTGGGAAGTTTCCAAAACCCTGATTTAACTATGGGTTATCATCACTTTGTTTGAGATGGGGGTCTTATGTAGCCGGGGCTGGCTTTGAACTCCATATGTAGCCAAGATTGGCTTTGAACTCCTGATCCTCCTGCTTATATCTCCCAAGTGCTAGGTTAATAAGTATGTGCCATCAAGACCAGCACTTTTTTTTTTTCAGAGCATCTTGCTATATAACAAAAGCTGGTTTTAATCTAGTGATTCTCTTGTCTCAAATCTCCTAACTGCTGGATGACAGGTGTGTGCTACCACTCCGGACTCATCCCTTATTTTTAAATTGTTGACAGGATTTTTTCCCCCAGGATCTTTTAGAATGGAACCTATGGCCTCATGCATTCTACAAACACATCTACCACTAAGCCATGCCCTCAGCCCCTGAAAGAGAAATTTTAGCTATAAGTTCCTTTTAGACCAGGCTGGTCCCCACCCAATTTCCATTAACACTACCCACCCCAACACCTACCTGCTGCTTTTAATCTAACTTCTCGAACAGCAACTATGGTTCTTGGAGCGAACCATTCCCAAGCCTCCTGTGAGAAGATAGTGTTCACAATTCCTCCTTTGAACCTGGTCAGAGTTGGACTTGCAGGCTTCTAGCTCTAGGAACGAAACACCCACTATACATTGCCAGAAATACTGATTGGCTGCTCTTCCTTGGGTCTTCCTGTTTGAAGAAGGGCATACTGACCACACCTGGGTTTTTACTGCTTAACACAATGAGTGCTCACTAGAACTGTAAGAAGCTACCAGCTTGGAAATAATATGAGTCCCCTCGTCTCTCTGGAGCAAACCAAGACGGGATTTTAAAATCTGTTTCCTCCTCAAAGGCAGCAAAGTGTAATGAATCACAGGGACAGACAGGGGCCACTGTGGCTGAGATGCAGGGCTGGCAAAGGGGTCACTGCCACAGCCCTCAAGGGCAGAGACAATGAAGCCAATCGTAATGAAGGTCCTTCTTGTCTGCTTGCCTGGGTCCAGACCTAACCTACACTTAAAAAATTCTGAAAGAGAACATGGTCGTTAAAGAACAAGACAGCCACAGGCAGATTGCAATCTTGGAATAATAACTGTGTGTGTGAGAAAGGAGAACCCCACCTCATGAATCATCCAACCATTGTTCTTTGTTTGGCTTTTTCTCAGCGTTTCCTCACTGCTATCAATTGCCTTTCTCTGCTTGAGAAGAAACCTTCAAATTAATTTCATCTCTGATGCCAAAGCTACCCAGCAATGCAATCCCCATGAGCTGGGCCTGTTACTGGAGAGGAGCCACTGACATGTTCTGGGACTAGGAGCTAGGGACAGAGAGCCACAACACACAGGGGACTGACCATGCATCTTCCCTGCCACAAGTCCAGCCAATTTACACACTTCTGAAAGTCGTCAAACAGGCAGCAGAGGAAGGAGGACAGAGACCACCCACCTCACCAACTAAATACCCCGCCTTTCTCTCTCATATTTTCTGACAGGATCTCTGCCTCCCTATACCTTATGTAGCCCAGGTTAGCCTTGAGCTCTCACTTCAAACTCCAGATCCTCCTGCCTCAACCTGGGGTTCCAGGCATGCACACACATCCTTCCCCAGGCTGAATTTTCTTCACCTAGCTATGCATTTTAGTGGCTTTTTTCTTTTTGGTGGATTTTATAATTAGTAAACATTATTACTATCTCTGCGTGAAAGCTAGTCTTCGGCATATTGCATTATGGGAAATTAGGCTAGTTGATTACTGCCTGTTAATTCTTTGGTTATGTGAAGCCTGTGGCTGTGGGTGAGCCTCTTTGTGCTCCTCTCAGGCTTCACCCACCATGCCATCATCACAGCTATTAAATAAACATTACAGGAGGCCTTTGTTATGGAATAAGCTCCCACACTAGGCCCCAGCAGAGCAGGCTAAAAATCAAAATGGAGTCACTAGCGCTTGAAAATCACCTCACCTAGCCAAAACTACCCTGCTTATTCAACCTTCTGATAAATCAGGATTAGAGAGACCACAGCCAAATTTCCCAAACAGGCCAGTTTCACCAGGTATGACAAGGGAGTTGCCTCCACCTTAATCCTTACACAAGGCAGGCAACCAGATGAAACCCAGCACTCCTTTTCCATCGTTCTGCCTCCCTGTTCCTGACTTACAAGGAAAGTAATCTTGAAGTGACTGATCTACTTCCTGCTTTTTGTTCTGCTTTCTTTAGGCCATTTTTGATCTTACAAAACCCATCACTCAAGGGCTGGGGATCTGGCTTAGTTGGTAGAGTGCTTGCCTAGCACACAGAGGCCCTGAATTCGGTCCCCAGCACTGCATAAACTGGATGTGGTGGTCCAGGCCTGTAATCCTAGCACTTGGGAGATAGAAACAGGAGGGTCAGAAGCTCAAGGTCATCCTTGGCTACATAATCAGTTTGAGGCAGTTTGAGTTACATGAGACCCTGTTTCAAAACAAAACAAACAACAATAGCAAAAACCCACTTTTCATACTGGCCTCATGGGAACATTTACTCTATCTTATGTAATGAAGTGTTGCTGAGTCTAGACTCAAAAACAAAGCCAATTAAAATTGTTTACTAGTTGTTATAATTCTGTTCTTTGAAACTTCCTTTTCTCTCTAGGGACGGAGTAAAAACAGCCTTGACTTCTCCCAGGCAGTAGCCTTCAGGTCTGTTTTGAAAGGCTCCAATGTTGCTTTCATTGGGATTTTTTTTTTCATTCTCACAAAGCAGGTAGAATATTTATCATCAACACTGAGTGTCACTTGTATCTCTAAGATGTGTTTCTGAACATTTATTTGCTCATAGTTTTAAGAGTTCTGGAAAATGTAAATA